GTGCCATCTTCGCCCAGGGACACGAAGACAATTTTGCTCTTCCAACCATGTATGGAGGAAGAAGGCAAATCCGTGAACGTCCTCTTATTCGGCAGCTGCTGCAAAGTGGCGTAGCAGGAACAATTCTTGTGGCTTCCTCGGCCAATCTGGTAGAGATTCATGAAGAGGGTCGTTGTCGGCCTGTAGCCCAACTCCGCACAACGGAGAAGGAAGCCCCACCATGTCCAGGTACTCTTGAATGAAGGGATGGAGGGGAAATCTCAGCCCCTTGGCAAAACTCATCGGATATACCCCGAAGTACCCCGGAGGCGGGTTGAGCACGTGGTCTGTCGGCCTCGGCGCCCTGTCCCTCCCGAATGGCCCCACGTACATCTGTGCGACCAGATAATCAGCGGCACTGCTCTCCGGCTTGATCAGGAAAATATTGGTAAGGTCCAGGTAAGAGAAGCCTGGCCCATTCTTCGGCCGCCTGTTCCTCTTCGGCCGTGGCAGGCCCTTGACGGCAGATACCGGCTTCGGGCACGGGATAGTAGTAGAGGCGGACGCCCCGTCCACCACACGGGAGGCCCTTACGTCCTCACCCTCAGATGACGAATCGGACCTTTCGTCCTCGTCCTCCTCGTCCGTAGGTTCCCCGGATTTGTACGGGCTCATGCACTCGATCTCTTCGACGCACTCTTCAATCACAGCATAGTCAAGAGACTTGGCGGAGGGCTCGTCGTCGTACGGGTGATATTCATCGTTTAAGGATTTCATCCTAAACAACTCCTAAGGCACTAAGGCAAACTATTTTAGATCTAAGGTGCTTTTGTGACTAACACTGGATCAAGGCCTAGGAGAGCAAAATATGTAACAAATCGAAGAACGTGTTGAAGAACTAACCTTGAAGATTTGAAGGGGGTGAAGAACACTCAGCAAGGTCTCTCTCTCTCTCTAAGAATTTGGGCAGCACTTCGTTACTCAGAATGCAAATGAGCTCCTCTCCTCGGAACGGGGAGGGTATTTATAGCCACACTCCCAACGGTAACTACACGTGGCATCACCTCAGTGGCCACACCAACGGCCACCAATGGGGTGCCACCACTCTGTCTACAGATCAGCAGCCCACCACCGAAGCAGGCCCTACGGATCAAGAAGGGAAAAGACAACACCCATAACGGCCAGGGCATTCAACGGCCAACTCAGCCTACAGCTACCCAGGTAGCACCCGTATCGGCCTTTCAAAGGGCCACGCATTATGCAAAGGAAGGTTTCACAACGGCCACAATACCCCAAAGGAAATGAACATAACGGCCATGAGGCCCTTGCACTAGACCCTTGATGATAACCCTTTGAAAGCGACCTGCGTCCAAGGGTTCTCCCACAGGGTTACCTTGGTCAAGAAATCGCCAAAGGGTTGGATTCAAGGGCAGTATGAGGATCACACTTCGGCCTAGGTTTTATGTCACTGAGAGTATGATAACCCTAGAGATATACTCTATCATTCATTTTTTCATGTCACTGAGAGTGATCACCGTCAAAAAATTTCTCGCCAGTTACACCGCCACAGTTACACCGTCATAATCACGACCATAGGGACGCCACCACAGTTACGCCCCTTCTCCCCTGCAATCACGTGACTATTTCCGCTAAGCTAAAATTGCCGTAGTTGACACCGTTGACGATCAACCGCCACCCCGACTCCCAACTCGCACTCTGCCTTACGCTCACACCGGCAACCACCCCCGTTGACAGCCAGCACCCTCCCAGTGACCACACCGGCCACTCCGAAACCCACCAGCCCCCTACCTAACCCCCTCCCCCCTCCCCTGAGACACCCACCCCCTGCCTCTCCACCACCACCACACCCCAACCCCTATGGCACCACCACCACGCCAGCCCCTCCGGCACCACCACGCCCCACCCACATGCCCTCCCTTCTACTGCCTTGCCCCCAGCATCAACCCCAGCCCCATGGACGCCGCAACCCTGGCAGCGACCGCCTAGCTCCACCCCACCACGGCATATCTGGAAACGAGCATGCCAGATGTGGAAACGAGGACGACGGAAACATGTTTCTTTGACCACGCCCTTCCACCTTGTCAACGGTCCATTGAGGATGACAACGTATGTGGTCGTTCGCTCCCCCAAAGCCAGACAAAAATAGAAGAGAAGAAAAGGCTGAGTTCGACGACGATGCAGGTGAACGACGCCGAAGAAAAGATCTTTTACCGTGTTACGGTCTTGAGGAAGGGATGATGACGAAGGTTGGGGAAGCCGAGTCTATGGCGGGGATTTTCTGCCTCTGTCCATGAGATCTTCGCGGATGCAAGGCCGCATGGGAGACGCAGATAGAAGTGTTAGCGCACCTGAAAAAATCGATCTGAGGTCGGGGGAATTTAAAAAAGTGGTCATATATTGGTCCAATAGAAGTTGAGAAGTAATATTGGTGCCATTATTTCGAAGCATATAGTACGTATATATCTCCCAATGCCCATTACCAATAATAATTAATAAGATTATATCCCTTACAATGCGGGTTCAATGCATCAAACTCTCTCGTTATATAGAAATTCAACGCATTAACCCCATGTGATTTGAAAAATGTGTCAAACCCCCTTCTGTTTTAGTTAATCATGCACAGAACCACTTTTATGACTAAATTTAATGATTTTGAGATTACGTTTCCTAATATTCTGATTGAATATGCAAGTAAATATGTCAGAATCTCTAAATACAAAATTGTTAATCATTTTTCTTATACTTGACAATTGAATTTGTTCACAGAAGGGATTTTGCGCATAATTAATTAAAATACAAGGGATTTTGACGCATTTTTTAAATCACATGGGGCTAATGCGCCGAATTTTTTCATCACAGGGGGGTTTGGTGCATTAAACCTCTTACAATGCTTACATTATTGTAGCGTTGTGCAATATAATGAGTCGAGGATATATATATTATTTTTAATTAGTAGGACATATTCATATCGTTGTCACCGGTGGCGGAGCCAGAAAAACGACATAGGGGGGTCGAATATGATGGATCGTTTTTAAATAATGTCCGAGTTGAATATTTCATATGCAATTTAAATAAACAGGCACTCATAGCAATAAGATAGATTTTCTTTTCTCTATTTCTGAGTCGTGTCACGTAAGTATTGAGTAAATTATATCCTATTTTTGAAATTTGGAAAAATAATCTATAGTATGTATCAAATTTTGCTGATTTTACGTTTGGATAATGCTGATTTTCCAGAAGTCATAACTTTTTGCTCGTAATGAGTTACGAGGGCCATAATATATCAAATTGAAGATAATTCAGATCTCTATACTCTCGAACTTTCAGCGGGGTCGACTGACCCCCATGACCCCCTTGGCTCCGCCCCTGGTTGTCACCCTTATATCATACTCATTCTCATTTTGAACGAGAAAAATAAACTCAAACCTCATTTACCACCAAACACATTTCGTTAAATGTTACTCCCTCCGTCCAAAATTATTGTCCTGCTTTCCTTTTCAGTTTGTCCCGAAATAATTGTCCCGTTTCTAAAACTTCCTTATTTCGTAAACAAATCTATACCAAACAGTGTCAAACAATGCAAAACAGTGCAAAGCAGTGTCGCTACAGTGCCAAACAATGTCGCTACAGTGCCAAACAGTGTCGCTACAGTGCCAAACAGTGTCGCTGCGGTGCCATTTTCTTAATCTATGTGAAAAACCAAACGAGACAATAATTTTGGGACGGAGGGAGTATCTAGCTACTTATCTTTCATTTAGACGTGTATATATAATTTCAGTACACAACGAAATCATACTAAGCTAGCCTGTAATTGTCAAGGCATTTAGACGTGTATTTGACTAATTTATTAATTAAGCTATAGAAATGTGATGATATATTCGTAAGTATATACACACTGTATAATTTATATTCCGTGAAATCATTCTAGAGTCACACCATGAAAAGTATTTCAAGTGACTAAGTTCGAAAAAAATAAAGATATTGAATTGATACCATTTTAAAACAATTAAAAAAATATGTTTTGTACGTATATGGTAAGTGAAATGAAAGTACGTTGCGACATTGAGGAATGTTCTTTATGTGATTGAAGTACCTCACTTAGTAATCTTTGTCATGGTTTTTGAAAGGTGCAACATAAAAAAGTCAGTCAAACCTCGGCTTTTATAAATTAAAATAGTGATATGTCTACATTGTGCTTGCTATATACTTGTATAAATGGTGAATAGTGATAATATTCTTCAAGTAGATGATTTAAAAGGAGTCGCTAATTTATTAGTGAGTATATAGTTTGAGAGTAAATTAATATAATTTTAAATATATAATTCCGTTGTTTAATTAATATCCTAAAAGAAAGTTGAGAGATGTGTATTTTTTAATGTCATATACTTTTGGGGAATACATGATCCTCCCACTTAATACAAACTATTTCTAAATTTTTCTTATTTAGAACAGAGTGTATAGACTTGGACCCCAGGATCCACGACTATTGGGTCTAGACAGCGACCACACACGCCTTACAGATTATTTGTATTATTGTACAGTCCAATTTATATCCACTAGATTAGCCTTTTATATTATCAGTCCATTTGTGTAAACAGGTCTGTTGGACCCGTATAAATTATAAAGGTCAAGACCCGGGTTTCACTATTTATACTCCTCTTGGAGACTCCTCTAACCCTAGAGCATAACTTACACACTTTTTACTATTCATCTTCTTCTCCCCATCTATTAGCTCAAATCTCTCTGATGGGCGGTGTACCCTGGGGTATCTTATCCGAAGGGTTATTGCGGAAAATAACTAGAAAGAAGTCAGAGAAAATAAGTAAGAAAGAGAGTCAAATGTATTAAATGCACTCAGCGTGTTTTACAAGGTGAATAAGGGCTGCTATTTATAGCAGCCATAAATGCGATGAGAGTACACATGTGAACAATCTAACGACTGAGGTGTCACCTCAATCGAGGTGACACGACATTCGCATGTGCACCACATTAAATGCGATGAGTGGATGTGACGCCGCATTAAATGCGGAAGTTGTCTGTCCCCAAAGGGAATCTTCGATGAGTGCGGTGTAGCTGAAGGCTCTCCTGTGGCCGAAGGCTACCCTCATGCCGAGGGCGCCTGTGAGCCGAAGGCTCCTGATTTCTGTCGTTTTCTCCCAGTAGCTTCGTACACCTGAAATCAACTGTTTCCTGGGGTTTGGAGCCTTCAGCTATGGTGCCGAAGGCATCCCCAAGCGCATCGTGAGTTCCTTTGACCTTGGGCAGCGGTGTTTTGGGCCTCATGCGCTTCTTGGGTCTGTTGAGCCTGTGTTGGAGTAGTAGGAGTCTGTGGGCCAAGGGTCCCTGGGCCATATACTTCATCACTCTCCTAATTATGTATGTTTGGATCCCTATAATCCATCAAGAACTTTTAAAATAAGTTTTTCTGAATATATCCCAACATAATTGAGGTAAATACTCCTTCCGCTTCAATATTATCTTCAAACATTCTTTTTTTCTCCGTCCCGAAATCATCTACTCTTTCCATTTTTTTTGCAAAGAATTTGTGGTTCATGACATTTTTTTTATATTATTACACATTTCTCTATCTTCTGCATAAATTTACATCACATAATACTCATTATCTTAATTCCCGTGTTATTTGTACATTAGGAGATAAGTTAGGAACAAAGGGGATATAATTTCATTTTATTTTTTACCCTGTTACTTATGTATTTTCCGTTTTAGTCCCCTGCCAATCATACATTATACATAGCAACCAGTGGAGGACCTAAGGGGGGCTAGGTGGGACATGTGCCTCTGCTTCGGGCCCGAAAATTCATTAGTAGCACTTAAGATAAAAATCAGTGTCCCCGCTTCGGGCTCGAAGTTTTTATTATAAACTAAATTTAATGTCTAGTGTGCCCCCGCTCTCACAAATCTTTGGGTCCGCCACTGATAGCAACATCGGTTAATAACACAATATATAGAAATGACTAACAATATTTCGAATTCCATCACGCTTTTTCAAATAAAGTACTAGTAGTAAACTATCTAAATTTTATTTTAGTATGGCTATTTTGGCCTATATCACCGTGCATGTAAAAACGTAAAATTAAAGAAAAAAAGGTATCAATAAACTCTTTTTAGTTTTTACTATTTCACATTTATCACTGGACTTCATGTACTTACAAAATTTATTACTCCGTATATAAATAGCATTATCTTGAAAACACAACCAGTCCACTTACGCTGTACTAAAGTTATTTTCGAAAAAATAAATGAAAGCAGTTGATAAATGATATAAAAATCATACGTAGTATGAATGTGAAAAACGTAGAAATGATAAAACAAATATATGTAATTTAAAAACATTAAAAATAATAAAAATGGAAAGATAGAGTGAAAATGTGAGAAATAAAAAATTAAAATATAAAACTTCTAAACAAATGTAAAACAAACAAATAGTTCAAAAATGCATAAAAATTAAAAAATAGTTTTTATTTCTATTTTTTTCGAATTCTAAATTTTTAGGTTTTTTTTAAAAACTTGTTATATGCCAAAGACCGATTGAATGACCGGTTGATGTTTTTTAAAGTAGTCATATTTATATGATTTTTTAGTAAATGGTTAGTTTTACTTGAATTTAATAGTGTAATTCAAGAGCCCACTATTTTTCGGCTTATCAGGTTTATCAGCCATTTTTTTGTATTTAAATGTTTTTACACTTTCCTATATGATACTCCGTATATATTTAAAATTTTGCTACACTTTCTCTTTTTGGTAAGTTATTCTATTAAAAATATCTAATTATTTATACTTTTTCTACTTTTTATCTTTTCTTTCATACTTTTTCTACGCTATTCATTACCCCTATTATTTTCCACTTAAACACGAACAGAGTATTAGACAATCATAGAAATTCAAAATATATTTTTAATATGAAACACATAATTTTAGAGAACATAAAATATTTTGAGAATGTTCCGTGTAACAGAGAAATTGACTTTAATTCAATTCTTAATTGTTTTATTTTTCAATAAGACAAAATGAATGAGAATGAAAATATACTCCGTAATCAATTTTTCTTTTCATTTTTGTTTATCGTTATTCCTTTTTTGAATAATCTTGGGAATGTTTTCAAAATAAATTTGTAAATGATTTGGAATTTAAAACAGGAGAAAAGTGTGAACAAAAATTCTTGATGTACAAGTTCTTATACACATTAACACATCTTAATGTTTGTGGGAGGTTTTTTGTCAGTGAATCCCAGTTCACAGACAAAACCAGCTCGTTTTGTCTATGGAAAATTTACATACAAAAACAAGGCAGTTTTTATCTGTCGATTGGGATTGACAGACAAAAAAAATCTCACTAACACGGAGGAATACTGATGGGTACGAGAACTTATACAAAACAAAATTTTCAAGTGTGAAACCCATTTAAAAAGCGAGAGTGGAGCGCGGTAATAAACAATATAAATGCACACCTCCGTTCTAGGCAACCCGTGAATGCAACGATATGATTTATCTCCAACCCAAACGGTAAAACAATCCAGTGGCATTCAAAGTAAAAACACCCAAATTCAAACCTTTCTCTATAACTTCTTTAGTTTATAAACTCGACAAAATCTCAACATTTTGCTGTATTGGGCGTATCATTATCTTCTCAGATGGACTCCGCCACTCTTTGGTTCATCTCTGTCTCCGTCCTCCTCCTTCTCCGCCCATCTCCGGCAATCTCTAAGACAACTTACATCGTCCATATCAAAAACACCCAAAGGCCTGCTTCCTTTGAAACCCACCGCGATTGGTTTTCCGCCCATCTCCAATCGGTTTCTTCGGGTTCCGACTCTCTGTTGTACACCTACACCACCGCTTATCATGGCTTCGCCGCCTCTTTGGATCCGGATGAGGCGGAGGCGCTCCGTAGAAGTGAAGGTGTTGTAGGGGTTTACGAGGATACGGTGTACAGTCTCCACACCACCCGAACGCCGGAGTTTCTCGGGTTAGATGCTATGTCCGGCGGACTCTGGACGGGCCACGGCATGCAGGAGCTCAACCGTGCCACCCAGGACGTCATCATCGGAGTTCTGGATACCGGTGTGTGGCCGGAATCGAAGAGTTTTAGTGATATCGGTATGCCTGCTGTTCCGGCCCGTTGGCGAGGGCGGTGCGAATCCGGGTCGGACTTCAATCCGAAGGTCCATTGTAATAAGAAGCTTATCGGAGCCCGGTACTTCGCCCGCGGCTTCCACATGGCCTCCGAGATGGGATCCGCCAGAGAGGTGGAATCTCCGCGTGACACCGAGGGTCACGGGACTCACACCGCCAGTACTGCCGCCGGGTCCCAAGTGTCAAACGCCAGCCTCTTCGGGTACGCCTCCGGTGTAGCCCGCGGCATGGCCACCAACGCCCGCATCGCCGCCTACAAGGTATGCTGGACATCCGGGTGCTTCGGGTCGGACATCCTCGCCGGGATGGAGCAAGCCATTCTCGACGGCGTCGATGTGCTCTCAATGTCACTGGGCGGCGGCTCTGTCCCTTACTATCGTGACACAATTGCCATTGGAGCTTTTTCCGCGATGGAGAGAGGGATCTTCGTCTCTTGCTCCGCTGGGAACAGTGGACCAGTGAAATCGACGGTGGCGAACGTTGCTCCTTGGATCATGACCGTCGGCGCTGGAACAATTGACAGGGACTTTCCGGCGTATGCCACATTGGGAAACGGGAAAAGGTTCACCGGAGTATCCTTGTACAGCGGGAAAGGATTGGGGAAACGGCCAATCGGATTGGTGTACAATTCCGGCAACGAAACTTCCGGCAATTTGTGCCAACGGGGCTCGCTCGATCCAAAATTGGTCAAAGGAAAAGTGGTTCTGTGCGATAGAGGGTCAAACCCGAGGGTGGAGAAGGGCGAGGTGGTGAAAGAAGCCGGTGGGGTGGGGATGATTTTAGCGAACACGGAGGCGAGTGGGGAGGAGCTTGTGGCGGACAGTCACTTATTGCCGGCGGTGGCTGTGGGAAAGCATTCGGGAGACGCGATCAGAGAGTATGTAAAGGGATCTAAGAATCCTACGGCGGTGCTGGGCTTCGGTGGGACGGTTCTGAATGTGAAACCGTCGCCGGTGGTGGCTGCTTTTAGCTCTAGAGGGCCAAACACAGTGACCCCGCAAATACTAAAGCCTGATGTGATTGGGCCCGGAGTGAATATCTTGGCCTCGTGGTCAATGGCCACCGGGCCCACTGGGCTCCTGCAAGACACTAGGAGGACTCCATTCAACATATTATCTGGTAAGCATTTCGTAACGGACACTTTTTCACGCTCTTATTCCCTGAAAATCTGAAAATATTTTTTCAGACAATGATTATATCTTTGTCGCCAACGGTATTCATTAATGACATTGTGATTTTGATTTTTTTTTTACATAATATTAAGTGACATACTATGTGACAGTGTACAATTTATGTCTCAAATTGAGATGCAAAATTAACTTTTCTAGATTATACAAATTCATTTTATTCACTTAATTTGAATTTCACAACTTTAGAAAGATTTTTATATAGTTTTTGAATATGTAATTGTAATTATTAATCACATCCAACATCTCCTATTCCTAGGCATTATCATGTATACAATTTAAAAGAAATAAAGAATTAAAAAATAATACTCCCTCCATTCTATTTAAAGGTTCTCGGTCACTATTTTTCGGTCAACGTGCATTGTTTTTAATCTTTTACTATATATATCTAGCTTTTATCAAATTTAAATTTTTTTAATCAGGCTTTGTAGCGGTTTTAATGTAGTTTCTGAATATGTAAATTTTATTTACTAAATATAATTTCACTAATGACAGAGATCAATTAATTTTATGATCAATCAAACGTCGTAAACCGTGTGAGAACGTTAAATGAGATGAAGTATAACTAACTTATACTCAGTACTACTTATAAACAATCAATCAAAAGAAAAAGGTAGGAACAAAAATGGCTGAAACAAATGATAAGATAGCAGTAGAACGGATCAATGGAAGAATGTGGCCCGATAAGATAGCAGTAGAACGGATCAATGGAAGAATGTGGCCCGATAAGATAGCAGTAGAACGGACACAACTTCACCCTTGTCCCTTGAGGCCCGAAACGTGCTACTGCCGACGTCTGCACTCTTCCAACCGCCGCCCGAAGAGCCTCCTGAATCCTAAGTGTATGGTACTCTAATTTCAAGGTATTCAACTAAATCAAGGCAGTCAATCCAATGACAAATTCTGAAATTCAAACATTTTAATTAAAAAGAATATTTAAGCATTAAGTTATAAGATGGCTGCTTATCAAAAGAAGAACTGAAGACATCGGAAATTCGGAGTCAGGTCCCGTTAAGATGATTATTGATAAAGCAATGAAACACGCCACTAATAGGATTGGATTGGGCCGCTGATAATGGTTTATTTAAAAATAGGGAAGTTCTATTCACAACCACTGTTTTACTAAATACAATCACATTTTTTTGATAAATCCAAGTATACCCTTAATTTCATCCTCTGCTTCTTTCCTAGTGTCGACTCCAGTCTCCTTAATTCCATTCCTCTGCTTCTTTTCAAGATCATCGCCTCTCTAGCTACCTACTGAAATCAATAGGTTGAAACTCCGCATCACGCTCAAGACCGTCAGAAGACACCGGCGGCGGAACTTGAAGACACTCAACGGAAACAAGCACAGAAGAAGAATCAACCATATAAGTTTAAGTTGAATCAAATGTTCAAGAAGGATCGGGAGTCGACGTCGCTGGGACCAAGAAGGACCAGAGTTATTGGGAGACATGTATTGTACAAAGCATAGACTTCCATCCGTGACACCGGCAATGGGTTTGGGGTAGTCTGTCCTTCCCAGAACTTTGAGCGGACATTAATGGTTGACCTTCGAGGTTTAGCTCCAAGAACTGAACCAAAAATTACAGAGGTTGTAATCAAGGCCTAGGCTTTCCTTGAGCTGCAATCGCAACTGGAGCGGTGGCGGAGCAACCGGGGGCTGGGCGGCGCTATGGAGGTAGAAGAACTCGCCCGTTGAGCATCGATCCTAAGCTCCATGTGACTTGACCGAGCAACTGGACCACTTTTTCAGATCTGGAAGGATCGTTTGTATCCGGCCAAGTTCAATGAAGATCAAGTTTGTGGTTGCACCAATGCCAGGATAATTTAGACATATGAAGACATATGCGGCTGTATTTAGTAAAAGAGTGACTGCAAATAGAATTCCCCTTAAATATAATTCCTAATGGGCCTTGTATATAAAAAATGGAGGTCCTTCAAAAACTGGGGGCCTCTGCACTTGCATTAGGGCCGGGCCTAGCTTTGGGTTATTTAAATTTACATTAGAGATATAGGTAGCGTTTGCGATTGCTTCTACTTCATAAAAGTGATTTTTTAAGGTGATTTGGAGAAAGTACTTAAGAGTAAAAGTCGGTAGTTGTTGATGCTAAAAATAAATAGTCTAAATATGAATTAAATGGGATTAGAGCAAATATGAATCGACAATGTTTTTATAAAGAACAATAAAATATAAAAGGAATTTTCAGTAGTTCGAATGGGAGAATAATGGCGTTTTCTCGTATGCTGCTTGTTTTTGAATGAACTTTACATTTGATATTCTAAGCCTGTTTATTCTATGTTTTTTTTTTCTATGTTGTTTCCCTTCACCTTGCTGCAACTGCCCTCCGTGTTTGTTGCCACTTCCAACGGAACTGACTTCCCCCTTTTCTCTCCATTGGCCCGTTTGCAAGACCAATTCTTGGGCTCAACAATAGTGTTTGAGAAAAAAGTGCTTCTGAAAAGTAAAAGTTGATAGTGTTTGATAAATTAAGTGATTTTTGTGTAATAGAAAAAGTGAAAAGTAGTTTAAAGCACCGTTCTACCTGCTTTTAGCTTTTATTTAACTTTTAAGTAATTAATTTAAGCAGAAGCTATCATTTGAAAACACTTTTTTCATTTTTTTTAATCTAAACACTTTTTTAAATCTTTAGGGTGTGTTTTGGAGTTGAGTTTTGGAGAGGAAAGGAAGGTTAATGGGGGTTTGTGACATTCCTTTTCATGTTTGGGAGTTTATAAAATTGGAGGAGTGCTTTTGGAGGGCTTTTGTAACCCTTCAAAACCCTCCAAATGTTTAATTTTTAAGTTCTCCCAATTTGGAGAGTTTTGGAGGATAATTAACAAGATTATCCTCCAAATGCGTAATTTAAGTTATATTAGAAATGAATATCACCTCAATGATTTGAATTCGTCATATCTCAAAGTATTTTTAGTTATAATTTCTTCAAAAATTCTCTTCTTTCAATTTTATTACTCTCAAATACAAAGAAGAGTTTCTTCATCTTCCCTTTCCCCTCCAACAACATACCTCCAAAACCTTTTCCTTCCCTCCAAACTCCCAAATATACCCTTATCAAATACTCCCATATAAGGTGAGGTACAATGTATTTTACAATATGCGAGGGAAATAAACCCTTCTATTTGTATTTGGGAGTTTAAATAATATGAGGGAAATGCTTTTGGGGTGTTATAAAATCCTTCTAAATCCTCCAACACCTTAGTTTTCTAATTCCCCCGATTTGAGGGTTTTATAAGGTCTAGCTACGCAAATGAGAGATTTATCCTCTAAAACTAAAACCGCTTCTGCATAAAAATTTTATGAGTTGTTACTCGTTTCATTTCTCCGACACTGAAACCCCTCAAGTCCCCAAACCCTCCACTTTTGAAATTTGCAACTCCCAAACAAGAGGAGGGAATCCCTTCCTATCTCCCTTCCCTTCTCTCCACTCCCCTTCAAAGTCTTCCCCTTCCATCCCCTCAAACTCCCAAACACAACCTTAAATGTGTACCTATATAGATCAATCAAAATACTGCAATTAAACAATTACAATACAAATGAATAATGAAATAATGATGTTACCCGTCATTTGCTTTATAGGTACACTATTTTCACTCTTTATAACAAAATTTCTGATATTTGCAATATCTTAGGTAAGTAGATTACCTAAAGTTTAACTTTCCTCGAATCAAACATTAACCAAATAAATTTCTCCAACCTGACAACAACCAGCAACCACACATAAAAAAATATTATCAAAGAAAAAAACCAAATAAATTTTTTGTCAGGGTCTTTTGACGACCCAAATAATTAACTGGTTTTTATCCCATAATAAATTGATACATTTCCAATTGCAGGAACGTCCATGTCTTGTCCCCATATTAGTGGGCTGGCAGCATTATTAAAAGCGGCCCATCCCAACTGGAGCCCAAGTGCAATCAAATCTGCACTCATGACAACAGCATACACTCGGGACAACACCAACTCCTCTCTACGGGTTGCCGAGGACGGCAAGCTTTCAAGCCCATGGGCTCATGGATCAGGACATGTTGATCCCCAAAAGGCCCTCTACCCTGGCCTCATTTACGACATACGTCCGGCCCAATACGTCATGTTCCTGTGCTCCTTGGACTATGCCAGTGAGCACATCCAAGCGATTGTCAAAAGAGCAAACATAACATGCAACAAGAAATTCAAGGATCCTGGGCAGCTCAACTACCCGTCCTTCTCTGTGGTCTTCCCAGGGTCAAGAGTCGTCCGGTACACCCGGGAACTCACCAATGTGGGGCCTGCAGGTTCAACGTATGATGTGTCTGTTGAATCACCACCATCGGTTTGGGTGACAGTGAAGCCGAGAAGGTTAGTGTTCAAGAAGGTAGGGGACAGACTAAGGTACACAGTTACATTTGTATCCAGGAAGGGAGTGAAGGGTGCTATAAACGAGTTTGGCTCCATTTCTTGGAATAATAATGCAGGGAATCAAGTTAGGAGTCCAGTTTCTTTCTCTTGGGCCCAACTTTTATAGTGTGAGACTATATTTATCATAGTAGTAGGGCGGGTTTAGGGCCTTTGATCTTGTAACAATGCAGGTCCATTGTATTACTTTCTAGAGTGTGGGTTTCAAGAGTAGATTGCTTATCTGGGAAAGGGACAAATGAGTGGAGTTCTATTAAGTTTGCTTCTATAAACAATTAAATATTCACATTACATCTGACTCACTAAAACAAAAACGCTCAATATATTTATTTATTGAGCGTTTGGACAAATTACACTACCAAGTAGGGATGGGGGGTGAAATAAATAAGAAATCAAAAAAAAAATTGAACTGGAACCGGCATGGCTCGGAATCACCGCCTACCCAGGCCAGTTCCGGTTCATCCATTCCCAAAAAAAGGCCCGGTTGGGCTCAGGCCCGAACTGGAACCGGCCCGGCCCCGGTCCATCCATACTACCAAGTTCTAAATAGTTTTCTTTTGATGCACTGTTTTACAAGGCTATGTTTGGTAAATGGCTTAAAATTAGTTTGTTTGATCAATTTCAGGTGATTTGACTGGTTGACCAGTTAAAAACTTATAATTATTGTTTGCTAAAACAGCTTTTTCAAATAGATTGTTCATCCAATAAGCCGTTTTTGTAAACGCTGCATGTAGCAGCTGTTTCAATTTCTTTTATTCCTTTTTTTTATTCTTGCTTGCTATGGTAGTCCGAGGGTCTTAGCTCTACTATGATTTCCATTGTTTTTTTTTTGGTGAAATGTAAATAAATATATAGTATGATTTCCATTGTTTAGAATAAGGAGAGTCGCATATATGGTCCCTCCGTTATCCATGAAATTAAAATCTCAGATCTGTATTTATGGATTGTAAATGTCACCCCTCAATTGTTCAAATTGTTGTAAATGTGGTTTTTTAAGTGGTGAAATGTACTCTCGTCCACATTGTATATTTCACCCATCAAAAGGACCACATTTAAAGCATTTTGGACAATTGAGGGGTGACTTATCCTTCAAAATGACCACATTAAACAACGAAGTATATTTCAGAAAATCATTTGACTGCCTTCCTGGTTGAATTTTTACCTGAAATTTGGTATGAGTAAACTAGACTTAATGAAAAAGATGTTCAACAAAATTCATAAAAAAGTTCCACCGGTAACCGCCCCAAATGGTGATGGCCAGACAGAGCCTCCTATAAAAGGGATGATTTGCACTTTTTCGATTAGTTCAAGGGCTTGTTTGCACCATTTCCCCGTCTTTTTGAATTTGGATTTGCACCTCGCCCCAAATGTTGTTTAAGTATTACTCCCTCCCTCTCTCCTTTGCACAAATCTCAATCATACAACTTTCACTTTATTAATTCTCGTGTCGGTCAAACTTGGAAAAGTTTTAAGGATGGAGGGAGTATATTTTTCAACGTGTATATATTTTGTGTGTTGGGGTATTGGGCTGCTCAGATCGCAATAGACTTTTTTGCACTGGGTGCACAACGATCAGGCCCGGACGTCCATCTATAGTCATACCAGGCTGAGACGAAGGACGAGCGTCTCTAGTATTCTCGAGCGGAACCAACAAATGGATGATATACACCCAGCATGGACCATGACAGATGAACTAGACCTCTCGTAGATATGATACACGGACGAGTTGGCCATGCTATAATTAGGGGTGGGCACGGGACATGACGAGATGAGAATTAGAATATCTCGGTACCAAACCCGGTTTAGGATAATGGAACAGGACAAGACAAGACAAGACATGGTCCTGCTGTAGTCCCTTTTAAACCGGTATCGCGACAACAGAAAACGAACCAAAACGATTTGCAAAAATAAAATAGCATATAAGAACTTGATGACAAAAAACTACAACACTAAATACAAAAACACAAAGAAATTTACGATAAATGCAACACAAAAAATAGTAGATTAATAGAATAGTTGCAAGAAACAAACTGTATATAACAACACTAACTTCAACGCACACAAAATTACCAAGAAATCTATAAAACAAAAATTGTTTAAACAATATAATTAGGAGTGAAATATGTGGGAGTAAAAGTGAGTTTCTGTATAATAGATAATTCATACTCGATAATTTAGAATCCTTTAGGTGTTTTACATGTTAGACGACTAATACATGATACTCATTGGTATTTGGGTTGTAAAATAAAATGAATGTTACTACTATTTGCACTAATTATTAAATTGATGGTAGACTTCCTAACCTACTACAACATACAATTTTGAATTCGATACAACGAGACGAAACGGGACATGTTTTACTTGTCCCAGTCGTGTTTTATTTTGGAACGGTTTGACACTGAAACGGGACAAAAATAATTTGTCTCGAATTTAATGGAACAGTTTCTGAACTGAACTGTTATTTCCATAATGGACCAACGGACCCTGTCCTTTTGCCCAATCCTAGCTATAATAATTAGCTTGAAACCTAGATTTGACAGGAATAACAGTGGATGAAAATATGGTTTGGCGAATAGGAGCACAACACATCACCGAATCCAACTACCACCGATGTACTATAAATTGTCCCTCACGAGTCAAAAGAGGGGTTGGCTTTTGGAATTCAATACTAATACTAGTAGACATTACCAAAGCGATTGGTGGAGCGAATTACATAGTTATATAGCCGTTCTTGAGTATATTCAAGTGTTTTGCAACAAAATTAACCAAATATATACCCTGATCACCGTCCAAAGTCTCAAAAGAATTGTGTTTGATATTTGGACTAAAGAAATAAACTCCAACAATATTGATGCCATCTGTGGAAAACTGAACAAAATTTTCGTTCACCTCTTTCCCTAAATCTGTCCCTAAAAAGCTAACACAATCTACCTCAAATTAAAATCACTAACAATGTGAACCGAATCTAAAACTATAAGTTAATAAGTGGATTCAGATCTATAATACTACGTTCTGATCCTACCAGATCCATTGACGAACCTACATAATAAGCCATCAATTTGAGCAGGGTTCTCAATCATGCAATACTAGGCATTTCTCGAAATTTATATGAAAGACACGCCAAATGCTCACTAGGGAGAACATTGTTGTGATAAATGATCCGAATTTCTCAAATTTTTAAATGAGTAAATCATGACCAGTTATCAACATGCTCCGTAATGAGCATGCCAACATACTTCATATATTTACTCCGACATTTCCAATGGTAGGGTGGTGCAATCTCTTAAGTATCTTTTGCATACATCCTATTTTTATCTCGTGTAAGATCTACATGATTCACATTTGTTTTCATTTTATTGTGTTATATCACTTTTAACACAATTTTCATCTATTTACTTCATCAATCATGTATATGTTCCATACATATACTTCGACATACACGTGGTCTATGACTTATCTCTATATGTATGTAGGATAGACTAGGACGGGCCTACCCGCCCTGCTGCCCGCCCCGCCCCGTCACTATTTAAGCCCGACCCGGTTTGTCCGGTACCGGTACCAGACCCAAGACCCGGCCCGGTGGAAAAGGAATGCGGGCTTGGGCTCCTATTTTCGTGGACTGGCCCGGACCCAACGGTCACCAATTCGATTTTTTTTGTTTCCATTGACTGGCTGCAAGGTGAATGGGGTTGGGTGGTTTGGGGGTGGGTGGGTGGGTTGGAATTCATTCAAAAAAAAATTGACAAAAAATAAAATAGGCACGACCCAACCCAGGCCCAAATCGGAACCGGTACAAACCGGGCCGGGACTTGGCCTGATTACCTTAGTCCCGCAGCCCGCCTGGGCCCGACTCGGCCCTTCTTAGTTCTTCTCACCCCCTTCCTTCTCCCTGGTTGTACCACTGGTTTAGGCCTGTCAACGGGTCCGATCTGGGTCAGAATGTAGTGTTCCATAGCCGAACCCGCTAAGTTAATAATGGATCCAGACCCATCCCGTTTACCCGGCGGGTCTTAAAATTTGGACCTAAACCTAGACCCAAGGGGTCTCGGAACTGGGTCGGTTAGACCCACCAATAAGTATGATATGCACAACATTATAAACTTTGTGAAAAAACATGACCTGTATATAAAAGGTAAAGCAATGTGCACAAACTTAAAAACAAAATATATCTTCACTTTCAAAAAATATCAAGATTTCTTATAGAAAATCAATACTTTTATCCAATAAAGTATCGGTTCTTGTAGAGACGTATAACTACATATTCGGTTTTGCTTTCTCTTGCACAGAAAGCTCGTAGTATAGACTTGAAATAAGGTCACAAAAAGGTCTCTTGGACTAGTGAGAGTATAAGAGCATATTATATATGATAGTGATATAATAATATCAATATTTAATAACAAATATTGGGTTTTGCCTACTGGTCTGATACACACTTTATCATTACGTATAAATGGTGAAAAATGGGTATTAGTTTTAGGATATCTTAATATCTCGATCAATATCACTTATACAGTAGGTATGTATTAGTGTGTTTATTTTTAATTGAAGAATTACAACTAATAACTTTATGTATTAATATGTGTATATGTTTGTGTGTGTATTAGTTTGTAATTTTTTATTTGAAGTATTATGAGTAACCATTTTATGTATTACTGTGTGTGTACTAATACAAGCAAGAAATTTTAAACGGATTCAGATCCTTAACGGGTCAGGATCATATGTACCATACCCGACCCGTTTATTAAAAATACTAACAGGTCGTGTCTGAGTCCGGGTAAACGGAATAAAATATAGGCCCATATCCGTTAATAACAACCGGGTCCAAGTCGGGTCTGGGTCTAAACCCGACCATTGACAGGCCTACGCTGGTTGGGTTTCTTTTCTTCCTTTCTTTCTCCCGGTTCATTTTCTTCTAGGCTCTCTACTCCCTATATCTAATTTTGGGGCGAGTTCACCATCTATCTCACCAACCTCTGCCGACCCCCCAATTTCACCAATTTCCACCCTTTTCTTTCCTTCCCCTTCTCCCCCTTTTTCTCCTCCGATTTTTCCTTTTTCTGTGGAATCTATGACTTCGATCTTTTCTTTTTCTCTTATTTGGTAGTTAGTACCAAAGACCTCTGCCTCTCTTCATCTATTTGGGCTTCGAATTCGCGATTTGTCGATGAAAAGCGTAGAGCACTGGAGCTTAATAACGTCGTTGCCGACAGGTGTCGCCCTATCTGGAAGATGGGGGGTGGGGAGCAAGAATTAATTAAATAATACCAAGTACTATGTACGTATCAAAAGAGAAGAA